TTCGTACTACATATTAAAATAAAATCTAGCCTAGTGCACACTGGTCTAAACTCAGATCACATAAAAGTTTATATTCTAACAAACTAACAATAAAAAAATATACTTAATCATCATTAATGCACTAATATGAGCTTAATAATTTCATTATCCTGTTAACCCGAAACTAATTATAAAATAATAATTATTTAATCAATAAAATTACCAACTCACATCAACGTCGAGTCTAAAACATGTAAAATCACACAAAGCAAAGAAGTTAAAACATTATAGGAAAAAACATGTTACTTATCTAAAAAGAATAATTGTTCGCTATTGTTCGCTTGTTGTTGTTGTTATCTAATCAGCTTATTAGCTGAACGTGCTGGCTATACATTTAATACAAAATATCGTGAAGACATATACTTATACTTATAGCTGACAAGAGCCAAAATCTAAATTGAAACTGAGCATTTTTGACATAAGCCCTCAAATTAAGAAACCTAACCATAAATAAGTAAAAAATCTCAAGTTAATAACTGTATATATACAGTTATTAACTTTTGCGATTTACATATATGTTTAGAAGTTCTTTTGGAACCAAAATATCTTGGATGGTCAGTTTTATATTCTTTCTTTTCTTCGTCGTGGTATTGTGAATCGACTCAAAGAAGAAATACAATTGCTGATACAAGGTGATACGAAATTCAATATTACGAACTATCTGAAGCTGAACTGCTACTTTTTTTCTTTTTCATTTGTTCATCTACTTAATCTGTACCGCCCCATTTCGTTTCAATTTATCAATTCCGCTATTTTATCCTTGATCATCTTCCATTTTACTGATTTTTTATGAACTACGAAAACAGACGTAGTATTGACTGATAGCATGTGTATATGGGTGTGTAGCATGTGTTATAATGGGTGTTTTAGTACTTTTATTTCTCATAAAACCAAAACGGTCATATTAATGACTGGCACACATACGTATTCGTTCAAAAAGATGAGTAATAGAAAGTCTGTTATTCAAGTGTTCTTTTGTTTTCTCTTACTCTCTTCATCTGAATGTTTACCTCTTAAAAATAGTTTGTGATAGCTTAAAGCAACCTTACGAAACATTTTTAACTAGTACTACGAAAAAAACATCTGCCACATGGAAAAATAAATTGAATGTTTAATATATAGGGAGACTTTCTGCTTTTTTCTAATTTTATTGAAGAATCACTTTAGTAAAAAACAAATCGATTATCAAGGACAGTGATGATGAATCTCCCAGGAAATACCATTTTCTCTTATTATTGACAGTTGTTTTAATTGTATTCAATCTTGTAGAACAGCTTATTCTACTTAGTTGACTATAAGGTTTCTTCTCGCTATTTTCCATCGTGTGTGTAAGTGTGTGAAGTAAAAAAAAATCTCTAATTATAGAAATTGAACTAATCGAGAATGTTCACTTTCTCTCTTCTATTTTCACCGACTATGAATAAATATAATATCCATACCAATGATTTTTATTTTTATCCTTTTTATCTGATTACATCGACAAAAAATTATACAAGATCAATTTAGCAGATAGTTTTTCAAAAGTAAAAAAAAAGACATAAATTAACTGGTAGATTGCTTAATAGGAAAATTATATTTTCTTACTTACAACGGCTACTGTTGTGTAATGTATGTCGTAGTATATGCTCTGGTAATTGGTGGTATATTAAAATATTCTTGTTGGAATGCCATTTTATACGCATATGTACAAAGTTTTAGTCTGAAAAATAAATTCAAAATATTTTTTATCATCTAATATTGAAAATAATTGAAATGAACAAAATAATATTCAAGTTGTTGCGTAACCTATTATGTTTTTCTATTGCTATTTATCATTCAAGTTAATGGAATGGCACGCGAATCTTTTACCGGGGCCAGAAAACTTTTTTGGTCCCGGTGCCCATCTCTACTCATGCGGCAGAAAATATTTCGTTTTGAATAAGAATCATTTTGAAAATCAAATAAATAAGAACTGACTCTCTCGATTCAAAGCTCGATTGGTCAGTTGAAATTCACATTTGTTTTCTGTTCTTTTCGTGTCTATAGATTGAGTGGAGGTACTCCGCAAGGGTCGCCTCTGTCACCTTTACTGTAATCATCTACACGTACGACTCTATGAATGAAATTCCAAAAACCGTAGGAACGGGCTGTTGGCGGACGATACTGCACTATAGTCGTCCTCAAACACTATCAGGACATTAAAGAAGAATTTACAAGAAGCTACTATAGCATTTGAACGGTGGTGCTTATCATGAAAGTTAGAAATACAGCCTGTAAAGATCGAAATGCTCCACTTCGCTCCACATCCAAAGAAAAAATACTAAAAAGAAATGAACATAACAGTTGAAAATACAGTAGTAAAGCCACAACAGTCAGCAAGGTATCTCGGCGTGATTTTTGATCGAAAATTTTCAATGGCGTGAACATGTTGAAGAACAAGTTCGCTCTCGAATAACGTTAATTCGTTTTCTAGCAAGAGCCACCGGCGTAGCACTCAACACGCAAATCACACTAAATTTATTTAAAACGTTATTCAGGACAGTAATAACGTACGGATGGTTTGTACTGCTAACAGCGGATGGTAAAACATGGCAGCGGCTACAAATAGTACAAAACAAAGGAATTCGAGCAGCACTAGGTATCCCAATCTGCACATCAGTAGAGTATATGCATCGAATAAGTAAAATCCAAAAGATTAAACCATACTCAATAGAATTAACTCGTCTATCACATGATCGAGCACTATATTGCGAAGACATGATCACGCAAGAAAACATCAATAATATAATAGCCAATTTTTAGCTTACAGTACAAAGTTTTTGTATCGTTGTACCTTTTGTTTCTTTTAAATTCCGGGGAAAAGACTCATGTGTCATCTGCTTGGTTATAAATAGCTCCGCCGGCCTACATTTTTGAAATAAAGGCTACTGATTTCTTATCAAAATTCTCAGACTGTGTCTTTAATTAAGTCTGTTGTCTTTGTTATCTTCTTTTCTCTTTTACAAGAATTTTGGGGAAAATATAGAATATAAATTAAAATGAAGAAAACAATGCAAGTCAATAAAGAAAAATTTATGACAACTTCGGTCACAGACGCATTGAGTGAGTTGCAAGATGTACTAAATAAGTGTAAATGGAAGGTATATGAAAATATTTATTTATTTAAGATTTTTTATTTAATGAGAATTTATGTTTATTTACATTAAAGAACAAAAAGACAAATATGTATGTTTATGATATCGCATACTCGTGTTTCCTATATCCTTGTGTTACCTATATTTATGAAACAAGTAACATTCATCGACGCTCGATTCACAATTATCAGCAAGCTATCAAATAAATAGCTGATTTTTCTCATCATTTACACACGTCGGTCTGGCATCTATATTCGTCCCTTTAGAACATCAGAATGACCTGTAAAGTCAACTCGAATCATAGATATTATATCCAACATCTATAAAATGTTTATAAAAAAATTTGTTTTTTGTATTATCATCAATACATAAATAATAAGTCAGTCTGTTATAAGACCTAATTTGGTCTAACTATATGCTTTTGTCTAACTATATCTCTCTCTTTATTCCGTCAGTCTTGGGCTAAGTGAATCGACTGTCGATGAATGTATGTCGATTTGTATTATCATCAATACATAAATAATAAGTCAATCTGTTATAAGACCTAATTTCGTCTAGCTATACGCTTTTGTCTAACTATATCTCTCCCCTTATTCCGTCAGTCTTGGGCTAAGTGAATCGACTGTTACTTGTTTCATAAATATAGGCAAGACAAAGATAATGACAAATACACTAGGGTTCTATTGTTCTATCCGACGAAGATGCCACCCATGATAGTATAAAAGGACGAAGAGAATGACACTAATCCAGTTAATTCATCAATTATTTCTGCAGGATTTTTCTGTTTGTTATTAGCAACCTACAGTTAAAACTTTATTTTTTAGATGAATAACGAGCCGAATGAACCATTACCACCGCCCTACAGTCAAGTGCAACTACCTTCACTGGTAGTGGTACCGGCACCTGCGGCAGGCCTGGTATGTTTGTGAAGCTCAGGTTTATTCCGGTAAAATTCAGAAACTTTTTTTGTTTAGGGGCCTGGTCAGCATTTCGAAGTGCTGCCCCAGATTCCAGCACTGCAACAGATTCCGGGTAAGTTATATCAATCAAAACCATGTTGTTATCAATATAACAAAGTATTATTTTTAGCTGGTGCTGGTGGTCGTCCTCGCACACGGGTAAGGTCGACAGTCATAAACGTGTAGCTCTTTCCTCTCCAGTAGTTCGTTGCCTAGGTAAAGAGTTTTCAAATGCCAATCCTTTTTATTTAAACTTTTATAACAACATGTTTCTTTTGTTATAGGAGGAGATAGCTGCGCTCAATGTGCAGATGGGCAACATCGCCACAACGCTGGGGGACCAGCAAACGACCCTGGGTGACCAGCAAACGACGCTGGCGGACCTGCAAACAACCCTGGCCAACGTGGAAGCCACGCTGGCGAACCAACAACGCTGGACCAGGTGCTGGCAACACTAAACCAGCTTGTGCAGCAGCAACGAAGCTAAAGACTGAACTAGGCCCCTAGCGCCCTTTTTTTTATTTTTTTTTTATTTTCGGAAGGTTAGCTTCTTTTTATTTTTAATTTACGCTAGGGGTCAATTTTTTTTAATTTTGTACATATTTTTTTTTTTCCCATTAAATTTTTGGGACAAATTTTTTAACATTGAAATTGTTGCTGTACTAGAATTAAAACATCTTTATTAAAAACATCTTTATTAAAAACCTGGTCGTCGATAAATTCTTCTTTTTCACATATATCAGATGTATATATCGTTGCTTGTAATTGACGATCGACACAGTAGCAGAACGCAATTTGAACCTCCAAAGAAAACTTACATAGTCTACCAATCATGCTTGAATCACTTGCAGGCCACAAACTAGATTTGCTACTTTTTAACATTGGTTTGCCATTTGAACAAATCATTAAATTTAATGGATTTTGTAT